ATAATAATAAGAAAAAAACATTATAATCCACTATTAGAACGAATGTGAAAGATTAGAAAGTTAGTTGGATACAGTATGAACATACAAAAATCAAAAGCATTTCTAGATGACAGTAATAGCCAATTAAAAATATATTCTAGTTAAAATAACAAAAAATTCCATTTTTAAAAGTTACATGTAGGAATGTGATGGAGAAAATATAAAGCATTATTATAGGACATTTTAAAAAGGCTTGATTAAAGAGATAGGATTATGGATGGGGTGACGCAATATTGCAAAGATGTCAATTCTGCCAAAATTAATCATTAAATTAAATGTAATTTCAATAAAAATTTCAAGAGAGTTCTTTATAGAAGTTGACATACTAATAAAAAAAAAAATCACCTGACCGTACAAAGCGTCAAGAAAAGCTAAGACAGTGCCGTAGAAGAGCAATGTGGGCTTAATAATTAAGACAATGTTCGCCTAGGAAAACCAGGTGCTGTAGGTGGAAAAAATAAATAAAAATAAAAAAATAAGGAATTGTAAGCTGATAAGGTCCTTGCAATCTGTGAGGTCAACCAAGGGTTGCCTCACCTAAAAAAACAAAAAAATAAAAAATAAAATAATAATAATTAAGACAACATGGTATAGGGTAGGGATGAAAAATACATCAACACAACAGAATGTGGAGCCCCGAAACGGACCCATACGTACATAAACTTGACATGGGAGGAATGTGAAACTACAAATCAGTAAAGAAAGGATGTGTTTTCAACCAGTGGTGATGGGACCCTCAGCTAGCCATATGAAAATAAGATTTGATTTCCTAACATATACCATACTTCCATCGATTTGAGTTAGATTAAGGGCATACGTGAAAAGCAAAATTTTAAGATTTTTAGGGAAACAATAGAGTCAAAGTATGAACTGAACATAGGAGATAATTTTTTAAACATATACAAAATCCATATACTATAAAAGTATATTTATTTAGTGTAGTCAAACTTATGAATTACACAACTTCCTTTTAAAGAAATCATAATTAAATTAAAATACAAGCTTCATAGTAGGAAATGATTTTCAACTCACGTAATCCACAAAAATCACTAGCCAGAATTTGTCAAGAACTCCCATAAAATGATGTGAAAAAGAAGCATACCAACAGACAAATGGCAATAGATAAGAGCCAGAAATTCACAGAACAAATCTAAGTGGCCAGCAAAAAAGGATACTTAGTCTTACTGCAATCAGCAAAATGCAAAGTAATATGTCCCCCAATGGAATATTACATAGTAGTTAAAATAAATAGAACCATAAATCTCAAAAACGATGTTGAGTGAAAAAAAATTTGTAAAATTGACACAATTTATGCCATGTTTGAAATAAGTGAAGCATGTTATATATTTTAAATAGATAAATACATATATAGTCAGGGCAACAAAATTATCCTTGGGAATAAAATATCAAGTCTTGGATAATAGTTACATATAGTTATAGTGGTAAATTGATCCAGATTATATTGGCTTGCTTGAGCCAGTTCTACTATCTCTTATCTCTTCCTAATTCCATGTTCAGTAGTATCTTGTTATTAGCTTGATTGGAGTGTTTGCACCATAGAAATTGGCAAATACTATAAATCTCAGGTTTCCCCTCCTTGTCCTCACTCTGGAGAACTAATTTGCCAGCACGTTACTGGGCCATTCTCCCCAGAGTGGAATGCAGTTGGGAGGAGCACACATGGGCATGGGACCTCAACATTATTTGTAATGATTTTATGCTTTAAAGCAGAAGTCCCCAAACCCTGGGCCATGGACCAGTACTGGTCTGTGGCCTGTTAGGAACGGGGCTGCACAGCAGGAGGTGAGTGGCAGATGAGAGAGCAAAGCTTCATCCGTATTTGCGGCCACTCCCCAGTGTTAGCATCACCGCCTCAGCTCCACCTCAGATCATCAGGCATTAGATTCTCAGTGGAGCACTGGTCCCTGGTGCCCAAAAGGTTAGGGACCGCTGCTTTAAAGAATTTCTAAAGCAAATATGGCATAAGAAAAAGCTCTGAGCATAGAGTATTATGATAAATACCCATGGAGGTGCTTCATGGCTATTTATCGTAATGCTCTATGCTTTTCTGTATTTTGGAAATATTTCCTGAAAAACAAATCTAGTCATCTGAATTTTTCAGGCCAGCATAAAACCATTTTCTTTTCGCCCTCTCTAATTTTAGAGATTTAAATCTTTCTTAGTTGGTCACAATAATACTATATTATGCTGAAAAATCTGGACCTGAACTAATAATAGAAACTTTTAAATCATTACAAGCCGCAACCACAGATTTGCCGAATAGTTGTATCTTTGAAATCAAAAGGATTCAAAAGAGACATTAAAATAAAAAGTCATATCAATACTCTTACTTAATCCAATTTAATAGAAAAGAAGTCTGAGCTCCAAATTTAGGCTCCAGATTTAAGAGAAATAAAAAACGAATAGGGACAAAATAGTACAGACGATTCAACTATAGAAGTTTAATAAGAAAATATTCTTGAAAATAATAATGGAATAAAAATAATAAAATAATAATAATGATATCAATAGAGATTTGACAAAAGCAGGGAGTCGGAATAGGCTAGGTTAGATGTCTACCTCTATGTCCTTGAGCAAAGGGCTGTGTGACTGATTCCTCGTCTGTCAGATGTGTACACACCTAGAAGATGAGCATCCTATCTGCCCCAGAGAGCTGTTAAGAGGATTAAATGAGATGATGCATGTACAGGGATATGTAAATGTGATCAACAAAAACAGATAGGCATGAACATGTTCACATATAATTGTGTCACTACAGTGATGCCTCACGCATCATCGTCAGGGACTCTTTCTCTCTGACTTGGGTTATTTTAGACATGTCTGGTGACTTCCTCGTTCAGAGAACATCAAAGAGAAAAGAATAGAGAACAGACTCAGAAATATAAAGTTCTTCTCAGTCTTCCAACTACTGTAGACTGGGCTCCTTCTTGTTGACGCAGGTGGCTGCTTCATTCTTATCTTTCTTTAAATTAGGAGACACATGAAGATTTGAACTCCAGGGAGTAGGGAATGTGGCAAAATGCCTGAGGTTTGGAGGCAAAGAAGCCCAAGTGAGGCATATCAGGTGATAATAGACATGAAGCTCTGCGTTTTGACATGAAGTAAGCACTAGATAAACAGTCATTACTATCAGCTTGCAGCCAAACCGCCAGGAGGCGTATGCCAGGGACCTCCCAGCATCTAGGCTTCCACCCTCTTCCAGGGTTACAGTGCCACTATGGGCTCTGGAGGGAGAAGCCACTCAAGGCCTTGAGGGACTTTACCATCAGCAACCGCTAACTGGGGCCTGCTCTAACACCAACACATTACTAACACGTGGACTCTAAATCCCCTCATTCGACTCTTTTATGTCCTTTCATATATTCTTCTTCTTATGTTTGTTTGATCTAAACAGTGTTTCTCAATCCTGGCTGCACATTACAAACATCTGAGGACTTGTTAAATATCCCGATGCCCTGGCCCCACCGCAGAGAAATTAATCAGAATTTCTGGGGGTAGGATCGAGCGTATGTATTTTTAAAAGCTTCCCAAGAGATTTTAAAAGCTTCTCAAGAGAAATGCCAAATGCTGGCATTTTTGACAGCCTTGGCTTTCAAAATTGAAGGATGAGCTGATGTAATACAACAAACATGGCTCCCAGAGGCCGGGCTTGCGCTAGGGTTTGGGACTCAAAGGTGGCAGAGGAGATGTGGGTGCCGCTCTCAAGGAGCTCACCTATACAGATTTCTGTACTCCAAGAGTGGGAGGGAGGACTCAATTTGCATTGCGTTGAGTCACACAACAGCAGGACACTGTAGGACCTTATAATGGGATTTTACTATAACAAGATCAGTGTCATCACTGGTTAGTATTTTGGTACTTCCTCTGTGCTGGTATTGAGCTAGGCGCTTCAGGTGGCTCAGTTTACTGAAGTTTCACAATAACTAGATAAGGTAGATATTCTTATTTTTTCTATTCATTCATTCATTCATTCATTCATTCCACAGAAGTTCTGATGCCTCCTAGGGGCCAGGCACTATTTTAGGCACTTGGGCAGTAATTTAGGCACTTGGACAGCGTTCTGTGAGTGGAGGTGGGGAGGAAAGAAACAACAGACATAACCCAAAAGTCAACCATAGAGTATGCTAGTAATTGCTAAATGCCAGGAGAAATAGAGCAGAGCAGGTAAAGCATATGTGCAGGTGCCATGTAAGTGTCATTGAAAAAGGAAGGTGTGAGCAAAGACTTGAACTGAGGAAGTTACTTATTCTACTCTAAAGACTTACCAAAGGATATATGCATGGCTCGGCTGGGATGTGAACCCAGACATGCTGGAAAACAGAGTCTGTCCTCTTAAGCTGCCTGCCACTTGGTCTTCCAAAAAGCATCATGCTGTGTTATAATAACTGATTTGTCTGCCCCATCCACTTCAGCTTCCCGTCTGTCTTGTTTACTATGGTAATTTTCTAAGCCCAGTGCCTGCTATATGATAGGCACTTAATACATGTTTGAATTAAACTAATCATTAAAAATTTAAATATTCACTAATATATCTAGGACTTAAAGTATTTATTGTGGGTTTACTACATCCTGCCCAGTCCCTAGGCAGAAGAAAAATTTCAGAAAATCCAGTGGAGGTAGGGACGCTGCAGACTAAGCCAGCATGTATTTGTGGATGCCCTGTTCATATTGTGTGGTGGAAGAAAGGTGTCGCTTCTCTGTCAGGGCAAACAGCTGTGTCCTCTGAGCCAGGAGGACGAAGTGAGACGGGACATAGCCAATAAATGTGAGACTCACATACAAACAAGAATGCTTCCGGGTGGAAGACTTCATGGTAGGAGAGCCCACAAAAATCTGTGAAATCGAATCGAGGATTACAGGTAAAGTTTTCTCAGGCTGCATTCATTTGCGAGAAATTCATACCGTTCCCACGTGAGGACAGCCTTCGAGCGTTCGCTTACCTGTTGAAGCAGTAGATATCTCGTATATTTCCAAAGAGGGCTAACCGGTCTTCCGTCCCCAGAGGGAGTTTCGTGTGGTCCCTGATACAGTCAAGGTAATCCTATGAAGTCAATAAGAAGGATGTCTTAAACACCGCGGTCCTCTTCCAAGTCATCTTTAGTTATGCAAGATGCATCTTTCACACCAGTTTCAAGTAATTATTATACTAACGGGCTCATTAACTCTACGATGATAAAACAGTGTCTCTCTTTTATTAATGATGCTAATATGTATAGAATGGGGTTTTCGAGCAAAGAGAAAGTGCAGTATACATTAATTATCTACTCCCCTCCCCAAATGTATCAGAGCTTCCTTAGATGGATAATCTAATGACCAGTTACCCATATCAGAGTTGACATAACAACATTGTCTGCTGTTTCTTTGACTGATTTATATAACAAAAATACTCTAAAATTCATAGAGTGAGAAAACCAGAAATATTGATCTTAAAGTGTCTCATCACAAGGAAAAAATTCTCTAACTATCTGAAATGATGGATGTTAATTATACTTATTGTGGCAATCATTTTACTATATGTTATATATATATAAAATCATTATGTCGTACACCTTAAACGAATACAATGTTATATGTCAATTATATCTCGATAAAACTGGAAAAAATTGACAGTTTTTTTTTTGCTCTTTCTTTTTTAACAGAGTTGTTTTTAAACATAACCTTTAAGTCAGAAAGCTATCAGTTGTTATAGAACTGAATTCTTCCTTCAATACCAATTTATTTAAAAAAATAAGCACGTAACTCACATATGCTGTCTAATAGGCTATGTGAATGAGCCATGAAAAACTTTGAAATAATTGTATATGTTTTAACATAGAAACGGCTCCCAAACAGAGTTAACTGGGGCTCAGACCCACAGCGGGTTAACCGTACTTGCTTCAGAAGCTTTTCGAACTGCTGAGAGAGGGGAAACTGCTTTCTGCCCCCGTGTGCTGAAAGGTTCATGTTCATAACTGAGCGTTCCCCCTTCTCTAGGCAATGCTTGAAAAAAAGAACTCTACGTAAAATAAAAAATAAATACAATCCCCCACCCTAGGCTGAACAATGTACTATGACCCTCTACCAAACGTCACAGGGCAGATCTGCAGCAGTTAGAGGAAGTAACCTTGCGAAAAGCCAGCCAGACCATGAAAATCCCAGCAGTCTAACCTCATTCCAAAGTCCAGTCACAAACACAATAGGATTTACATGCCACTAGCAAAAGGCAAGCCCGAAACTTAAGAACCATCAGATAATCGTTTCTTCTCTTTTAAAAATCTACACTCACTCCCTCATGTGCTTATGTTCCGTAGATGAAAAACAGGCAGGGGTTCATCATCAGCTTTCTTGGTAACACATTTCACAGATGACATCCAATAACTTTCCGTTCTAGTTTTTTAATATTAAAATCATTGTCATACATGAACCCATGTTCGCAAACTTTTTTGAAACAAGCTTTGGGGTAACATCTTTTCTTCTTAAGAAAGTGGTCATCTCAATAAGAAATCAGATTCACAAGGTTTAAGTGTAGTTGACATTAAAAGCCCGTAAGAACAAGATCTAGCCTCCTTGCTTTTATACATAGAACAATTATAAGGAGCTTACATATCTGCATAGGCTACAGAGTTAATGCCCAAATAAGAAATGCTGAAGAAGGCTAGAACTGATGTAACAGCATTTTGAACATGTAAAACCTAACCTACACTTCCTCAAAAAGATACACGTAGTCATTTCTATTTTCATAAAATTACACATGGTACAAAAGGATGGGCTAATATTTAACTTGCACTGAACACTTATATTCGATAGTCGCTTAATACTTTGATCAACACTCGAAAAGGACACATTATATGCAAAATTAAGAAGATAGAAGAGAAGGGTATGGATGAGTGTGAAATTAAAAAAGTACACCAGAAGGCGATGGATGGCATGATCTGCACCAAGTAAGCAGGATGAAAAAAGGGGACAGAGATAATGTTCGAATGCCCAATCCACCTGGTTGACTGCCGTGGGGTTTAATGAGAAAACTAACAATCCTTTTTCTCACTCTGAGGGCAAAGCTTGCCCATTTATAGAAACCTGAAACTAAATTCTTCATGTGAGGAAAAGACCGAGTTAAAGGGATTGAAGAATTTCAGTTGGGTGAAGAGACAAAGAACCGTGGCCCACTGCCAGCAAATGATGGCCCATGGCCAACCGAAAGCGTTTCAAAACCCCAGCGTCTGCAGTAGAGAAACTAGATTTTAAAAGATGCTTGTTTTCTGAAATTGTTGAGAAAATACATCGTTAGGAGTCCAAATTTTGTAGGCCCCTCTAAACAACAGATCAAAGTTGTATGGCCACAACTTGTTTCCCCTGCTGATCATAATTAAGTCTTTTAAATATGATACTTTAACCCTAAACCAGTTACTGAAAACTACTGTAGCGTGCACTGCATTAGCAGCTGTAATCATCTGAAGCCAAAATGAGAGGTTTGAAGCTCAGTGATAATAACAGCTCATTCTGTGCTCAAATGACAGAGTAAAGACACCAGTGAAATTTATTAGAGCCTGTCACGCTGCTTATTAATTTTATTGGCTTGATGTCAGCGCCTATGGCTACCCTACAGTTAACAATGAAGGATCAATTTAAAACCTTTGCATTGAAAACAATTATTCTCCAAGAGGATCAAGAATTCAGTCTACTTTGGGGAGGGGGCGGGGATACACATAAAAAAGAACTGTTCACCCGCTGAGTATTTTTATACAACTTAAAACTTTCCCTAAAGTATTTATTTTCTTATCAATTTATGCCCTTAAGAGCTCTGCCATGTCAGATGGGTACCAGACTCACTGCAGTGGGCACTTCATAAGGTATATAAATGTCTAATCACCATGCTATACATGAAACTAATATAACATTGCATGTCAACTGTAATCGAAAAATACATTTAAAAAAAGGTTTCCGCCATTGTAAGAATTATACATAAGTGTCCTCATTAACTTTTTCCATTCCTTTAACGTCTGTTATTGAAAATATCCAACTAGGGTCTGATTTGGTGCTATTAGAAATGTGGTAAATGGAGAGGAGGTAGTTTGCAAAACGTTGGTCACTGATCTGCAACAAATACATGAATTAGGAGTGAGCGTGTGGAAACTCTTACAGCATTTTGACAGAAGGACATCTGTTGACTCTAATGACAAATCTGTACCTGTATTTTGCGTGTCTGTGTCTGTCTTATTTTTCAAGTAATTCTTTTTTTTTCTTTTTTATTGTATTTTACAAAAGTGTCATCGTGTGACCGATTGGAAAGCCAACACACACGTCCGTCATGATTGCTCGTTTGAGAAGACTTGGTCTAGATAACCATCCGAAACTGGGATAGAATTCAAATTCAAGAAAGCTCGGTTCCTAGATCCTGCGCACGTCTCAAAATTCTGTCTAGTGATTTTACGGTTTACTCTTTTTTGTCTAATTTCTGTTGTTAGACTTCTAAATCCTAAACCTTTTGATATTACTTCTAGTTAAGATTTTTTTGGTCTTTATTTTTGATGAAGCACCTTTTTCTGTTTCTCCAATCCCTCTGCCTTTGCTTGAATATAGTCATCTACTTATCCGAAAAGCTGTCCTTCACATGCCTTGTGTTGCATTGAGTTGCTACGGAAACTACAATAACGTACACTTGTATATCAACTTACTCTTTAAAAGCACATTCACATTCATTCATACAAATCCTCCTTCTCCCTCTTTCCATTTTTTAGGACATGAGGATGCAGGCCAAGTTTTGTTTTACAAGCTAGGAATTTAAAAAATGAATAAAACATGATCCCTTCCCCCAAGGAACTCCCTGTATAGTTGAAAGACAAGTGTAAACAAATAAGTACAATACAGTGTTTAGGCCACACGACTGATAAATATTCAATATGCAGGGGAGAGGAGGCAGAGGGGGAAGTGGTGATTCTGGAGCAGGGAGAGGCTTTACAGAGATGGTGATGGGGATGGGGGAGCTGAATCTTTAAGGATGACCAGGAGTCTGAATAGAGAGAAAGAAGTAGGAAGGAGATGACAACGTCCAGGAAGACAGAAAAGAGTGAACAGAGGCATGGGGTCACAAAATGCGGGGTGCAGCCATGACACTCAAAGGAGCTGAGATGGGCTGGGGAGAGCAGGGCGCGTGCACGCACACGCGGACCCTGGAGGTGGGCTGCCGTGGGGGACGAGGCTGCAGTGAGGACGGGACTGATGGTGGAGAAGCTTCCATGCCCCGGAGGTGGTGCAGCCACTGACGCATGTAAGGAGACCAAAGACCATTCCAGCATCAGTAAAGAAAGTAGAACAGAAGCCATAAAACTGCCAGAGAGCCACACAGGTGAGCCCGGCCCGAGTCCTCGATAACCTCCGTGGAGGGGGGTGGTAAGGAACTGGAGGTGGAGAATGAGAGAAAGAGGCCAGCCAAGGCGAGAGTCACGGTTTAAGTGCGGTGTAAGTGCCCGAGGGACGCAGTTGGCTTTCAGGAGAAGGGAGTCTGGACTCCTCTATCCTCTCTCACCTTCCACTCCAAGGATGAGGAGTGCTGTCTCCTAGCTCCCAGCAGGACATTTTCTCATTCACCTGGCAGTGAGTGGATTAAAAGGCAGTGACGAAACCAACCCTCCATCTCCTCTTCCATGTGGCTGCAGCATGGAGAGAGGTGGGCTGCTCCCTCTGGGGAGAAGGACCGATCAGCTTTAATTCTTCCTTCTGTTTTTTTTTCCCCAGGCGGACGTTGAGGCAAAACTAACATACTGCTGCTGCTGCTGGCTGAGCCCCCAGAGGCCTGGGCGGGGTGGTTCCAGGCCTTTCTGGCTGGCTGGTACCCTCTGTGCTGCAGTTCTTCACACCCAGGTAAAATACTCAAAGAACCTCTGGGGATTTGTGGTGAAATGAAAACGAGGCATATCTTTAGGCCTGCCTCGCCTAGACAGCAGATGGCCTGGGCTCCCTCATCTTGTTCTTGCAGTTTGCATGCTTCTGGGGCATAATTACATCTGTCGAATGAGATTCCATGCTTGATTCACAACTTCGCTTTTTCCACTCAGTGTATGT